AGGAGAGTCGAGGCTGGCAAACCCGGAGAGGAGAGTCGAGGCTGGCAAACCCGGAGAGGAGAGTCGAGGCTGGCAAACCCGGAGAGGAGAGTCGACCCCAGCAACAGCACAGCTCTGGGCAGCTGGGTGCGGAGCTCTGAGCCCAGAGCCCGTCTGCTGTAAGGTGCAGCGCCCCAGGGCCCGCGGGAGGCGCCCAAGCCTGGGCTCCGGGCGATGGAGGGCGTAGGCCAGGAACGGATGCCACCGATGCGAAGATAGAGGCTCCCAGCCAGCACTCAAAGGCTCTGGTGGCTAGAGCCCCACCTGGACTCCTGGGAGGCCCCCCAGAGGCGAACGATGAAATTCAAAACGAAGCAAGCCAGTGCCCGGCCTGGTGAAGCAGTCGTTCAAAACCGGCTACTGAGTCCCGTCCCGGACCAAGCACCAGGAGACAGGAAACAAAGTAACCGAGACAACTGGGCACTGGAATGTGGTGACAGCCCAGACACAGGAGGGAGATCCCGTGGGCGGAGGACGAGGGGGCTTCTCCAGACGGACGGGACGCTGGGCCCTGCAGTTATGGGAGTCTGCGGGCTGGAGGGGAGACCTGGGCGGAGGGCAGGGGAGGTGCAAAGGCCCTGGGGCAGGAAGCGATTGGGCGAGTTGGGGGCTATAAAGCAGAGGGAGTTGGACCCTGCAAGGCTGCAGCAGTGACAGGGGCCGCCCCAGCGGCACCTTCCACGCCATGGCCAAGTGCAATTTGGTTTCACTTGCAGCCATTCGTTTTCAGTCGGGCAGGGGCTGATTTGGACTGTCTTTGAAAGAGGATTCTGGGTTTGTGGGGGGAAGGGCTGCAGGGAGGAAGAACAGAAGCAGGAAAGTCAGAGGCAGCAGCAGCGAGTCTTCTTGCCTCACCTGAGGCCGAGCGCCCTGTGGGCAGTGCATCCCACTGCTGTCACGTGGGGACACTGGAAGGTGGCCCCCCAACACTGTCCCGGAAAGAACTGGTCTCAGGCGTGCTCAGGGTGACCCCAGCCGGAGGCCAAGGAGGAGCACAGGCCAGAAGCAATGTGGGGCCTGGACTGGAGCGGTGGCAGAGGGCATGGAGAGAGGGGGGCGGACCCAGGGCTGGCCCATGGGCTGAACAGTGCCGCCCTGGACCCACGGGTCCTCTCTGCTCCGTCTCTCCGGGAAAGCATCACGTGCCTCTGCGCCCACCAACGTTCTGGGCCCTCCGGAGAACTTGGGTGCCAGGAGAGAGGGAGAACACCCTCCATCCCCCGGGGGCTACCCAGAGGCAGGGCCTTGCTGAGGGGAGCCAAGCTACGCAGGCTCAGGTGACGTGGGGCTGGCGATCCTTCACCCTGCTGGTAGAGGAATCTCGGAGCAAGTGTCCAGAGGAAGCAAGTGGCCGTGAGCTTGGGGCTCTGCCCGGGGGCACAGGAGCAGCCCCAGACGATTCTGCACTTAGCTGGAGGCCCCTGCCCAGAGGGGCCCCGAGGGAGGGCCTCCAGGACCCCTCCCAACACGGAGCCTGTGGTTTAGCTCGTGGCCAGATGGCAGGTCACACCGGATGAAGGCACAGGGGGAACCCCACGGTGCCCCTGAACCTGACCGCTGACGGCTGCTCCCGGGGCTCCACAATACACACAAGCACACACCTGGCACAGACAGAGGCCACAGGCCGGTGAGCTGGTTTCGCACAGGAAGTGAGGGCGGCCGGGTGCGGAGTCCTTGGAGGAAGGCGGGCTTGACTGGGCGACAGGGACAGCCACCAGCATCTGAGTGCCGGAAGCCGAGAGTCCAGACAGTAACTCGATCCCCCTGCGTCCTCCCTGGAAGTCTGTCCTGGGGCGGCTGGCCACTGGCGGCCGGTGTTCCAGAAAAGCAAGGCAGAGAGCAGCAGGTAGCCGTGACATCCCCGGAGATGAGGCCCAGCAAGACAGAGCACCATGGACCCCTGGCCACAGCCCCCGAGATCTTAGCAGGAACCACAGAGCAGCGGCCTCTCCCCGAGGCAAAAGAGGCCTTCACAGGGTGGGCTCTGCTCTCGCACCGAGGAGACGGCTCTGTTCTTTCTGCCCACGCTGCCCACCGTGCCGGCGTTAGGGCCAGAGCCCTGAATGAGCCCTATGAGGGCCCTTCCTGCCGAAGCTCACCAGCCAGTACCCCAGTTCTGCACCCCAGGACCAGCGTGCCAGGCCCCGCCCCAGCGCTGGCTCCATTGGGAGCCAGAGGACTTCTAAAAATACACAGCACCACCCTCAGAGGGCCAGGACGGCCCAAGGGAAGGAGCAAAAGCAATAGGAAGCAAGAGCTGCATAGGTAGCAGTGATGGCGGGTCCGGGGAAGGTGGCCCCCTGTGGGCAGGATGGGGCGGCCAGCCAGCCATTGATTCATCCCTCCACCCACCCACCCATCCCTCCACCCATCCATCCATCCATTCAGCACCCCCTTGCAGGGGAGGGTGCAGACAAGCAGTTGCTGCACAGGGCATGGGGTGAGGGCAGGATGCCCCCTGAGGCTGGGGGAGAGCAGGTGCAGGCTGGAGATCCCCAGGAAGGACAGCAGGGCGGGGCACCCCAGGTCCCTCTGGCTCACCAGGCCGAAGAACGCCCCTCCCAGGCCTTGACTCCTCTTCCCTTTGCTTTCAGCCCATGACACTGGTCTCGTGACCCTACAAGTTGCCTTCAACAACCAGATCATCTCCAACTCGGTGGTGTTTGAGTACAAAGCTCGGGCCCTGCCCACGCTCCCTTCCTCCCAGCATGACTGGCTGTCCCTGGACGGTAAGACCGGCACCCGCGCCACCTCTCCAGGCACTTGGGGACCTCGGGCCTAAGGTGTGGACAGGTGTCCTGTCCTGCTCAGCGTGGGGTGGGTTTCTGCTCAGGCTGGACTGGTTTCTGCCATGAGACCGAGTGTCTCTCCCTGGGACAGAATGAAGGGTGTCAACCTACGTCTGTGGCTGCACCCTGCCAGGGGATCCGAGTGGCCGGACCAGCCCCCGGCTGCTTGAGCTTCCTCTCGAATAGGCCCTAAGCAGGCTTCAAGCAGCCTGTGCCCCGACTGGGGCCGTTCCCAGGGTCTCCCGACCCCAGCCTCTTGGAGGCAGCGGCAAGGCACGAAGCGGGCGCCGCCCAGCCCTGCAGCCCGGACAGGGAGCCCCGTTACGGCCGGGGAGAGGAGGGGTCAGGTGTCCCTTGAAGGCCTCGGATGGCCACCACTAGGCTGCTCTTACTAAGCCTCCGCCTTGTGGTGCATCTGCAACCAGCCAGGACTACCACTGTCAGCGGGTGGCAGGCTGGAGAACCCCACTAGACTCCAAAGGGGGTGCCCAGGAGGGCAGAGTCTTCCAGAGTCGGGCCGAGCCCGTGGTGTGCGAGCCCCTGTGAAGGAGACTGCAGAGAGAGGGTGCCAAAGGCGGGCCGGGCACCCTGGGTTGGCCGTGGCTGAGCTGCCCGTCTGCAGACGGTGGGCACAGAGTGGGGGGAGACAGCTGCACTCGGTCTCTGGGGCACCCGGCTGGAGCCTCCGCAGCCGGCGGTGTTGGGGTCTTGGCTGAAGTGCCCCGGTCCGTTCCCTAAGCGCCGCAGGAGCCATGCTCTCCTCACCTCAGGCTTGCCCTGGCTGCTGGCTGCTGGCGGGTGAGGGGGCTGCTGAGCCCGAGACCCTGTGTGCAAACCTCAGCCTTGCCCAGTGGGGTATGGTGCCAGCCGCTACCCTCTGCACTGCCCTGGGGGTCAGCAGTGGCTGCCGGGAGCACCAGGGGCCCCAGGTTGGAGCACTGGGCTGTGGGTGACCAGCAGGGAGTAACAGGGCAGGTCAGGGTGCTCAGGGGCGCTGCTCCCCGGAAATCCAGTTTCCTTTTTGCCACCTCGGGACAGAGAGACACCAGCCAGGCCCCCAGAAGCTCAGGAAGCAGCAGGGCCTGTCAGGAGGCTGTGGGCACGGGAGGAAGCTGCCAGAGAGACCAGGGAAGGGCACCCCCAACCGCTCTCAGCGGGCTGGACTCCTTGGGGACCCGGGCTACGCCCCAGCAGCCCCTCCCTGGCACCTGGAGCTCCGACCTAGCCGTCCAGTCCACCCCACACACACAGGGAGGGGCATGGCAGGACCCCTGCCAGAGGGCAGCTGGTGCGGCCCCCTGCCCCCTCCGCAGGCCCTTTCAAGTGCAGGCAGGAAAAGGGGGCCTGAGCAGGGAACCGGGAGACCCCACCCTTCCAGGGCAGGGGGACACCTGCCGCCCTCCTTATTCTTTCTTCCCTAAAGGAGTCAGATGACTGTCCAAGGAAGGTCATTTTCCCAGACTTTCACCAGCCAGATCAGCAACAGCAGGGGCTGGGGTGGAGGGCGCAGAGCTGAGCCCACGGGGCCTCTGGTGCCCAGAGGGAGGGGGAGGGGCTCTGTCTGCAGCTCAGCAGTGAACTTGGGGGTGGGGAGAGATGGTGCCGTCTGGCTCCCCCCAGCTCTGCAGCTCCTTTTCCCGGCCCCTCCTGCCCCACCGTTACTGGGCAAATCTCAGCCTGGGCTGCTGGGAGGTGGAGCCTGGGCGGTGGAGACGCCAGTGGCGAGGCGGGAGGGAGGGAGGGGCGGGGACCGCAGAGCCCGCAAACTGGGGCGCGGCGCGTGCACACACACACGTATGCACGGGCGCACACACGCATGCACCCCGGCGCCCCGCGCAGCTGCAATGCAGGGGCCTCGCCCGCCCCCCCGCCGCGGCCGGCGCAGTGCGGCGTCTGGATCAGCCGGCGGCTCCGCGCGCGCGTCTCCCTCCGCGTCGCGCAGACCTCAGTGTTGGGAGTCCTGAGCCCCCGCCCCCGCCCCCGGCGGGTAGAGGGCCATCTCCAGAGGGGGATTTCTGCCTTTGTTTGATTTGGGAAATGGATAATGGACGCTGGCCAGACTGGGGGGTGGGGGGGGCGCCTGGCTCTGAGCTCTGCAGCCTTTGCACCAGCAGCAGGGGGAGCGGCTGTCACGTGCCTGGGGAGGGCCATTGTCACGGAGGAGCGCTGGCTCTGGGGACCCAAATCTCTGCGGAGGTGGCCAGCGATCAGGAGGGCTTGGGGGCAAGTGCCCTGCTGGGACTCAAGCTGGGGGGCCCAGTCGGGCCAAGGGGGCGGGAAAGCCACTCCCGGGAGTGACCGCCTGTGGCCAGGACTCTACAGCTCCCTTTCGGCCATGTCTACCCCCAAGGTCCAGATTTAGAGCAGATTTCCTCAGACTTGATCCCAGGTCATTTGGACTAGGACCCCAGGGCCTGTCATGCATTTAGGGGGCCAGAATACCTCTTCCCAAATTAAGGATTAAGGCAGACAGCTCTAGCGATTAGGCTGGGGAGCTACTGTCCCTGGGGCTGGGGGGCTGTGCTGACTGAGGGGTGTGCGATGGGCCCAGCAGGACTCTCCAGGGTTTGCAGAGAGCAAAGCCAGGCCCACCCCTGGCCAGGGGAGATGGAGCTCCGTCCCTTAAATGACCCCTGTCCTGGAGAGGGAGGTGGCGCTCTTCCCCTGGCAGACACCTGTTTCCCAAGACCAGGGTGAGAAGGCCCAGGCTCCCCTGCCCCCTCTGGCAACCCCACTAAGCCTCTTAAGATTAGACTATTTTCAAATGCTCCCCCCCCCCCCCCCCCAGCTGAGGCTTCTGCCTGGATGGATGAGAGGGTTGGAGGGGGCCTGGGGGCAGATTTCTGGGGCTCCCCCTCCTGCTGACCCTCAGGGCAGGGAGGGGCTGGCTCACCTCGGGCAGAGGGGCCCAGGGACCAGAGCTCAGGCCTTACCTTCCAGGTGCCTGCTTCCGGCACAAGCCTCAGGCCAGGGGGACTTGGGCAGGCCCCTACAGCAGGCCCCTCCAGGGCCAGGGGTGCTCAGCTGGCGGCGGCCTCAGGAGCAGCCTGGGCCCAGGTTTGAAGTCAGGAAAGACTGAGGCTCTTGCTCCCATCAGAGGAAGGAAGCAAGAGAACAGTAAGATTTGCCTCTCCGCTGGCCTTTGAGTCCCAGCAGCTGGGTGGCCCCAGCTGGGCGCAGCCCGCCCGCCCCTGGGGGCTGTCTCTGCAGCAGCCTCCACCCCAGTGGAGTGGGAGGCCCCAGGCCCACCCAGAGCCCAGGACAGCCCGTGGCAGCTGGAGAGCATGGCAGCATGCACTGGCCTCCAGGCCTCGGACTTTCTTCCTCTCCTGTTGACACCCCAAGACACCCCCAGGTGTCCCCATGCACCCCTGGGCCCACCCCTTGCGCCCCAGAGCCCCCCGCCTGCCGCCCAGTCTTCCCACCAGGGCTGCGGTGGGATGGCCCTAACTGTACACACCAGAGAGCAGGCCAGGCCGCAGGAAGTCAGGGCAGATGGGGGGAGGTCAAAGGTTAAGTGCTTTATTTTAAATAAACAAAAATGTTACCGTTTTGTTTTATGGAGTAGAGTGCAAAATTCAGAAGCACTTGAAGAACTACAGTGTCAGGGAACCGCCTGGACGACCTCCAGGCGGTATTACCTGGGGGCGACCTCCATAGGCCCCATCCCAGGGCCTGCCGGCTCTGGCTTGTGGGCATGAAATGTTGGGGCAGGCTGGACACAAGGGTCTTCCCCCCCCCTGTCCACTCACCTGGCGTGGGCTCTGGGTGCTTTTGCATCGTTCGTGCAAAGGACTGACGGACAAGGCGCGTGGGGTTGCTTCACTGACCCCATCTTCTACTTGGGCCTTGAAGCCGGGTGGCCGGAACGGCCCCGCTCCCACACCCAGCTGCTGCCTGACTCCAGACAGAAGCTTCATGCTCCCAGTCAGCCCCTCGGGACGTCTGTCCTCAGCTCTCCTTCCCAGGGGACCCAGGGGCCTGGTCCTCAGTTGCCCCCTGGGCAGTGACCTGCTCTCTGCAGCTGGGGTGAGTCCCCTGGGTGCTGGTCATCTCACAGAAGTGCCAGGGCACCCTGCACAGAGCCAGCTCGGAGGCCCAGCCCAGGGGGTGGCCTCTGCCTCCCTCCTGGCCGGTCGGGCTGGAACCAAGCCCCAGGCCTCAGCTGCTCTTGCAAGATGGACACCCCGGCCACCGGGGCTCAGGCCCGTCCTGTCCAAAGTCGCCTGTAAACACCAGCTTTCCCTGGACGCTTGTGTCTGCGCTCTGGGGCCACGTGACAAATGCCCTCAAAGCTGGGGGCTGCAGTCAGAAGTGTGTTCGCTGGCGGCTCCGTGGGCTGGAAGTTCATAGCAAGCGCCAGCAGCGTGCTCCCGGGGCGCGTCCTCCCACCTCGCCCGGAGCTGGAGACTGCGTGACACTCCGCTGGGTGACACGTGCCGTCGGCCCGCTGTGCCTGCCTCTACTTGCTTACAAGGACACCGGTCACTCGGTTCGCTCCCCGCGGCCTGGCGCACAGGAGTCCGTCTCACGCGTGAGCACCTGGAGGTCAGCACTTCAGGGAAGGTCACGTTCTGATGTTCTGGGTGGACATGGCTATTTGGGGGACACCATTAGACCCACACTTCCAGCCATGGTGGGAGAGCCCTCCCCATTGCTCCCCTTTGGGGGACAGGGGCCGAAGGGAGCCCCAGAGCAGCAACAAACTGGCTGCGCCCAAGGGAATGTGGATGTCAGACCCCCACGGCCGGGCCCTGAGCTCCACCAGACCGCTGTGGTCACCGTGTGGCTGGGACCCTGCCCTTGGGTGGGGCTGTCATGAGGCCTGGGGGCAGCTGCGCCCAGCTTCTGAGGCGGCCCCAGGACTCCCCTTCTGTAGTGCGGATACCGGTCAGCTGAGCGCTCCGAGGCCTAACCTCAGAGAAAGGCCTGTTGGCAAA